CTCACTCTTTGGGTCTGCACTATCTTTATGAGCTGTAACACTCACTGCGGGGGTCTGCGGCTTCATTCCTGAAGTCACTGAGACCACAAACCCACCAGGAGGAACAAACAACTCCGGATGCGCCAGCTTTAAGAGCTGTAACACTCACTACGAAGGTCTGTGGCTTCACTCCTGAAGTCAGTGAGACCACAAACTCACTGGAAGGAAGAAACTCCAGACACATCTGAGCATCTGAAAGAACAAACTCCTGGACACACCATCTTTAAGAACTGTAATACTCACTGACCCCGAGGGTCCGCAGCTTCATCTTGAAGTCAGTGAGACCAAGAACCCACCAGAAGGAATAAATTCCAGACACAAGACCAGAGTTGACAACCCATCTCCACCATACAAAAGTGTATTGATTTGGAGAAAATCACTTAACCTCTGCCCCCCAGTTTCCCTATCCCTGAGATGGTAATGTTAACAGTACTTACATCTTAGGATTGTTGTGAGGATTAAAGACTTTTGGGGTAGAACATTTAGGAGATACTTGGCAAGATGTGTACATTCAACAGATGAGATTATCTCCTGTATGCTGCTTTACAACATTTTGATTTAACAGTATATCTCTGGCATGTTTCTGCATCAGTATATATGAATCTACTTTATCCCTTTTAACAGTAGGGTTTTCCCCCCTGTTCTTTAAAAAAAGTTTCTTAAATCTTAATTTTTCCCAATATAGCATATATTAATAGTAAAAACTCAAAGTGTATAGAAAGCTTTTCAAATGACAACGGTCACCACCTCATTTCTTCCCACCTGATCCTTTCACATCTCAATGCCATTCTCTAGAGCCACCTTCCAGCTGAAGAAACAGAAGAGAACCAATACCCTGGAAGCACTCCCCTACATCGTGCACCCACCCTTTTCTACTCCCTTCCTTTCCTCTGTATGTAACTACCATCCTGAATTCTGTGATTATTGTTCCCTGCTTTTCAATTCTACCATGTATGCATGAGCCATAACTAATGTGCTGTTTCACTTTGCATGTTTTTAAAGTTAACACATGTAGAGTCATACCATATATATTATCATGACTTGCTTTTCTGGCTCAATATCATGTTTTTGAGAGGGATTCAAGTTGATAACTATAGCTGTACACTATTTGTATTCATTTTTGGGTAGATGTCCATTATATGAATATGACACAATTTATTTATCCATTCTTCTCTCAATGGGCTTTTAATATCCCCTCAATCTTTTTTCTATTCAAGCTTCTTCCTTTCTTTCTTTTTTTTTTTTTTTTTGGAGACAGCGCCTCACTCACTCTGTTGCCCAAGCTGGAATGCAGTGGCATGAACTCTTGATCTTGAGCCAGCAGAATCCTCTCAGATTCGTCTCTTAGGTTGATTATTAAGAACTGTAGTTGTAAAAATGCACGTATTGTTTCCTTTTAACTGTGGCTATGAGCAGTGTGTCAACGTAAAAGGAAGAGGGTGAAGCAAAATTAATGCAGAGAGGTAATTTGAGCCGAGGTTGAGGGTTGCAACCCAGGAGTATAGGTTCAAGTTGCTCTGAATAGACACTCTCATTAGCAGCAGTTACAAGTGGATTTCTAAAGGAAAAAAAGGGGGGCTTCAGAGAGTGGGCTGACACATAGTTGTCTGTCAGGAATTCTCATTGCTCTACAGAAACAACATTGATTAGCAGCTGGCTACACATTGTTAAGCTATAGGCTGTGGGCTATAGTGTTTGCTGTGGCATTATTAGGTTAATTTATAGCTACTTGTGGCTATAACAAGAAGTTTCAAGAGGTGAATACACAGCTCAAAGCGGGGAGTGGGGCATGATTGCTGTCTCATTTTAATGTCTCTTTGGGCCTAATAATTTGAAATGGCTCACATTCCTCAGATGAAAGTTCTTTTCTTTCCTCAAGTGTATATTCAGATGTTTACACAACCACAAAGGACTTGAAGAGGATCTATTGTAATGCACACCAGTAACATAGTACAGTAGTTCACTGGGAGAGTATATTTTCAATTTCTTTCTTTGAGGAATTAACCTTTTACTTTATCTATTGATGAGGTGGATCTTTCAAATCATTACAACAAAACACTACATTATTCATACTAAATTACAGGACAGGTCATTCCAAGTAAAACTTTTAAAGTAATACCTTGATGTGAAATTTTTTTGTTTGGCCATTCAGAGGTTTTGCCTTGCCAAGTTTAAATTTACAAGGTTATTTGCATGAAGTCATTAATGTGCTAAAAAGTCAATTTCCTTAAAAAGAGTTAAGCAGTGCCCACATTTTAGCAAAAACATGGTCAATTTTTAAAACTTTATATCCATTTCTTGCCTATTTACTAAATTAAATAAAAATATGTAGTGATCACATTTATTTAACATATTCTATGCCAAGTGCTGCTCTAAGTGCTTTCTGTATAGTAACTAATTTAATCCTGCCACAAACTCTATGTCAGAGACGTTTGAACCAGAGTGACTCCATCTTGAGTGAGGGCTAGGAAGATGAGGCTGGGACTTGCTGAGCCGCATTCCCAGAAAGGTATTCCTAGCCTCTAGATGTTTATGGTTAAGGGAACAGATTGATAATGTTTACTAAACAGATCCAGACTTGGGAATGTCCAGATATCCTGATATCTTGAGAACAAGAGCATTCTTAATTTTGCTTTAAAGATAATAATATTGATTCTTGCAAAACATAGTAATTACGAAAATTAATCCTTTATCACAAACCCTTGTAGCAGAGCACATCTCCCCATGATCTTTTTTTCATCCTATACATACAGGCGTTGTACCTGGGGTGGGCGCCTTCATCCTCTTACTTTTGGGAACACCCTACTCCGTCTATGGAGTAGCTGTTTTCACCACTTTATTTTCTTAATAAACGTTTTTGTTTTGCACGGTGGACTCGCTCTGAATTCTTTCTTACGCGAGATCCAAGAACCCTCTCTCGGGTCTGGATCAGGAACCCTTTCCCGTAACATCTATACAGGAGGCATAACATGTTTTCCACCTTATTTTACAGGTGAGGGAACTGAAACACACTGAGGTTAGTGACTTGCCCATGTTCACAGTTAATAAGTGGTTGTTACGGGTTGAATTGTGCTCCCCCCAGTTTCATACATTGATGTCCTAATCCCCAGTACCCCAGTATGTGACCTTATTTGGAAATAGATGTAACTAAATTAAAATGAGATCACAATGGAGTGTGAATGAAGATGAAGGCACAGATGGGGTGGGCGGTGCTTCTGCACTCCAAGGGACATCAAAGATTCCCTCAAACCACCAGAAGCTGGGAGAGAGGCATGGAACAGACTCCCTCACAGACTCCCTCCTCAGAAGGCAGCAACCCTGCTGACACCTTCGTCTTGGACTTGTAGCCTCTAGAACTGAGGCAACACACTTCTGTTGTTTAAGCCACTCTGCAGTACTTTGTTACCCTAGTCCTAGCCACTGAATACAGGGGTGGAGCCAGGATCAAAACAGGCGGGCTGCTCCAAGACCTGGTGCTGTTCACCTCATTCTCTGCTCCTCCCGTAATAGGGCTAATCAAAATAAAGATAGACATCTACCCCCATCCCACCCCAATAAATGGCACAGGAGTTACCAGCTTTCGAATCTAGGCAAACAGGGAAATCACTGAATAGTCTTTTTCCTCATCTGTATGATGGCCCTGGAACCCCTCTTTCCTGACCCCTAGGTTAAAAGAGCTGTTTGAGAGGACTCTCTGGCCAGACCTTTATTCCCAGACCCAAGACTAAATTCATTCATCCCACCTGCTTGATTCTGAGCCTGTGCCCTTATTTAACTGAAATGCAGGTTCAGCTGCTTGCCGCTTGCAGAGTCCAATTATTAATAAGAAAAGCAAAGTCTGGTATAAAGAAAGTGATTTTTCATTCCAAAGCTGGTTTACGGGAATAACAATAGGCTTCCTGCCTTAAGGGTACCACTTCGCTTCTGGGGCAGAAAGCAGGGGCTTTTAAAGCGGGGAGTTGGTATGAACTGCACGCTGGGGAGGGAGCGAGTGGGTGGGAGTTTGCACAACTCACTGTGGTGCTTTATCTACTGGGTGGTGCCATTATAGGCAGAAGTCATTTGTAAAGTGGACTTTTGGATGTAAATTGACTGTTATCTCTGGAGGCAGTCTCCTGGTGGGTCAGAGGCCTGCTCTGGAGCTTTTAAGTAAACACCCAGTTAGATAAGCTTGCCCTGTACGGAGTGTCAGTGAAGGGAAGGTCAAAGATGATAATCGCACTTCTAAAGAGCTAAGTAGGAAGTGGTGAACAGGGAGAAAGGAGAAAAGAGAAAAGATGGGAGAAACAAATAATGTAAAACATAACTCATCCTCTATCTCTTAGAAAAATGGGAGTACTCAGTTACATTACTAGGGCTTCAAACACAAATGTTTAGTAAGTGGGAGAGTTTTGAAAGCAGCACCATTATTCTGAGGTTGATGATATCCAGGCTTGTGCTGTCTCCTGTGGGTTAAAATGAAAAGGATGTATCCTACAGGTGACAGTAGGGACAGAGGCCCTCCCTGTAGTCACGTTAAGCTAGTACTGACAGAAAAAGGAAAAGCCTGTCCAGGTGGCTGGGCAACCCTGCAGCGAGGCATAGATGAGCTTGTAAATCAAAGGAAATGACCAAGGTGAGTGTCAATCCTTTTAGAGGTTTATTTTGCCAAGGTTGAGTTCATATCTGAGAAAAAGTAACACAAAATCACAGGAACATCTGTGATCTGTGCTCTTTCCAAAGAGGGCTTGAGGACTTCAATATTTAAAGGGGAAAGAGCAGGCAGTAGGGGAAAGTGGAAAGAAAGAAAAAAGAGAAGGTAGTTAAAAGGGGCAAGTAGTTGCATTCTTTGGGGCCTTTGATCAGCATTCACTGAAAGCACATGTTACATTCGTGAAAGGAGGTCGTAGAGGAATAGTCAATTATGCTAGTGCTTGGTGAATCTGCATTTTTACAAGATTAAATATAGGGTAGAGGAAGCAGTCAAATATGCATTTTTCTCCAGCGAGAGGAAGGATGACTCCTAGACCTGTCTTTGTCCCATACTTGGGAAGATAAGCCGTTAGTTTACATTGCCAGGATGAGATTCAACTGATCTGTTTTAGAGTAAAGATCTTGGGGGCCCACAAGGAATTTCCTTGTAAACAAGCCCCTTGGGGAGGTGTGTGGCTTTTGATCTTTGTAGCTATCTATTTAGGAACAAAATGGGAGGCAGTGTTGCCTGACTCAGTTTCCAAGCTTGACTCTTCCCTTTGGCGTAGTAATTTGGGGGTCCAGAGATTTTTATTTTCCCTTCACAAGCTAACAGGAGCCTTTGGAGAGAATGCTCTGGACCGGTGAGTGAGCCATGAGTTCGGGCCACAGGCTCTGAAGCCGTGAAGCCTTGGTACGGAGCGGGTGGCGCTTCGAGGTCAGTGCCACAGGAGGGAGGTCAGGGCCAGCGTCAGACGTGGGGCCCCATGGAGGGCGGAGTGGAGACCCCTTCGTTCGGGGGCGGAGGGATGACTCTGAGCATTTAGAACTTTTGTGCATCTCCCTGTGGGCGCATCTCTTGGCCAGCGAGATGCTTTGACACAGCCCCTTAAGCTATTTTAAGAGCTATCCCATAAAGCCGTGAAGGCACACTGGGTGGAGCTGGCGGCCGCCCGGGGCAGGCACTTTTGAGCCAGGGAGGAAGCGGGGAGGGAAGGAGGGCGGGAAGGACGGGCGACCTACTTCCTGAATCGCCTGCAAACCCCAGAGGAGCTCGGCCTGCGCTGCGCCACGATGTCCCGGGAATCTGCCAGGAGCCTGGGGAAGGGTGAGGCCTGCCCGCCGCGAAGAGGGGTGATCTCGGCGACCCCCGGCGGCATGTTCGAGGCTGCTCCGGGAGCCCAGCCTCCCGGGAGCGCCCCACCGGCGGGGAACGGGTCGGAGCTGCAGTGGGACGCGGGGGCCGTGGGATACGGGGGGTCTCGACACCTCTCTGGGCCGTAATCGCCTTCGCTTCTCCCCGGCAGGAAGCGCGCCCCCGGGGCCGGTCCCGGAGGGCTCGATCCGCGTCTACAGCATGAGGTTCTGCCCGTTTGCTGAGAGGACGCTTCTGGTCCTGAAGGCCAAGGGAATCAGGTGGGCACCCAGGCGGGGCACGCTCCCCGAGCTGTCCGGGAGCTTGTTGCAGGCGGCGGCGTGGGGTGGGGTCTCAGCCCCTTTCTACCCGCCTCCCGCCAGCGTCCTTTACTGCACATTATTCTCCGCCCTTTGGGAGACAGCAAGGTATAGACCCTTCCCCTAGGAAAAATAGGCCACAGATTCCAACGGTCTAGGACAAGACTCCAGGTCTGGGACACCTCATTTAGATTAACCAACCATTTAATGGATTAGAAAAGCTGAGGCTCCAGTGATGTTAGTGATTTGCCCGGGTAATAACCGGCAGCAGCTCTTTCAGCTTTGGTAGGTGGCAAATTCCTGGTCCAGAGTCCTTTTGCTTTTGCCCTACTGTGATTCCCCATTCTTATTCCAGCTCAACTGTTAGCTGTTATTCTGAATGTATTGTTCCCTCCTGGAATAGTAATTTACCCCAGTACAGCAGAGTTTAGACCCTGACCCTCCTAGAGTAGTGCTGAGTTTACTGCACATATTCCTGTGGATTGGGCTGTTGGTTGAGTCAAACAGAGGGAAGTGTCTGTCTAGCTCATCCTTCTGCAGAGCCTGTTTTGAAACTAGCGTAGTTTTTGACTTACGGGCTATCCACAGGACATGTGCAACAGTCACTTCACTTTTCTCTGACACCAAGTATCCATTGGAACCACTTCCTTTCCCATGACTTTTGAATGTCTGTTGATTAGACATTTATTAGATACCTGTGGTGTGGAAGGCTCTGTGCAAGTGTAAAACAAAACCCCCATTCTTAAGAAATTTTCTGTGTGTTTAGTGTCTGTGAACTAATTTTAGTTTTCTAAGGGGAGAATCTTTAGGAGTAGGCAATTATTTTCCCTAAAAGAAAGGTAAAATGCATTTAAAAAATACATTTGAAGGGGATTTGTCATTACTTCACTAAGAAATGCCTCTCATTTGGATGAGATTATGATTCTGAACACAGAATACTTACTACTTAGTAATGTTTATCAAAAACACTGTCATATTTGCTGTAATAAAACTCTTTTATTGTACTAAGAGAAATCTAATTTAATCGAAATTGAAAAAGACCTTTTTTGGTACTCATTTAATTGAAAAGTCCAGGAGCATGACACAGCTGGATTCAGAGGCACAAAGTCCTGGGTTATGTGCTTCACTCTGGACCTTTAGTCTGAAACAACCCTACCTTATTTACTGAGGCAGTTTTCCAAAGGAACATTGGAACTATCTTCCCATAATAGTGTGGGTAGAAGGGAGGAAGAGGGTGGTTAACAGCTTCCTGGCAGTGCAAACAACAAAGGTCTACTACATTAATAGACCAGTTTTAAGCTGGAGCCCCTAGGAGGCTTTTACTGGGAAAGTACTAGATTCTAACCACATGATATGACTTAACAAAGCATGGTTTTCTCTAAAAGATGCATCTTCCAACTTGCTGTGGCAGGTGTATAGACTTGTTGGCTCACGATGCCAGGTTACCAAAATGCATGTGTGTTCCGAGATACTTTTTTTTTTTAAGAACAAAAGCCCAGGATCTGCCTTTTGTTTTCATAGTAACAAAAGTTTTTATTTCATAGTTCAAAAATGTTGATAATTCTTTGGCAAGCAGCCAAGTAATTTTTTTTTTTTTTTTTGCAATGGCTGGTACCTAAGTGTCCAGTATTCTGTCAGCACATGAACCTTTTAAATTATACACACACCTGTGCTCATGTTCAAATTGGATGTTCCTTTGTTTCCATGGGGGATTATGTATTTAAATCCTTAAATGAAATGCTGTTCTAGCTACAGCTGTGGATGGAAAAATAGAAAACAAAAGGTATTGGTGTCTATTTTTTTTTTTAGTAATTTGTTCTATTGAATATTTATTCAGCCTTGACGATCATATGGACTTGGCTCTTTTCTCTTAGTTCCTCTACCGTCTCAGGCAACATACAAGATAGATCTAAATATAATCTGACTATAGCCTGGACTTCACCTGTTTTCTTCCTTTTTGGTTTACTTTGTACGATTTACTCAGACAACATGTTTTTTAAAAATCAGTGCATGGAGATTTAATCTGAAAGCTTTTTTTGTGGGTGGATTGTTTTTTTTTTTTTTTTTTTTTCGAGACAGGGTCTCACCCTGTCACCCAGGCTAGAATGCAGTGGTGCAATCATGGCTCACTGCAACCTCTGCCTTCAGGGCTCAAGTAATCTTCTCACCTCAGCATCCTGAGTAGGTGGGATTACAGGTGAGTGCCACCACACTTGGCTAGTTTTTATATTTTTTGTAGAGATAGGGTTTCACCATGTTGCCCAGGCTGGTCTTGAACTCCTGGGTTTAAGCAATCCGCCCACTTCAGCCTCCCAAAGTTCTGGGATTACAGATTGAGCTATCACACCTGGTCTTGTGGGTGGATTTTAAGGATTCTTTAATATCTTTGTAAAAACCAAGAAACTTTTTACTCAAATTAGCAAAATAAATTGAATTTTATGTTGGTTCTCATATAGTGGGTAGTGGACACAATTCAATTAGTTGCCTCGTATGATTTATAACTAAGATACCTCTTAGCCATAAATGGAGTATCTTATTGACAATTTTGAAGCATTTCCACTGATATATTCATTCATTCATATGAAATATTTCAAAACAAAAATATTTACTGAGTCCTTATCTGAAACTTTTTATTTTCTTCAGAGTATTTATATCTATTTAGCATTTTGCTCACTTACATGTTTGTTTATTACTATGAGCAGATACACAAGATCTCACCTTTCATGGAGCTTACATTCTAGGAAGATAACTTAATAAACTTGTAAATAAGTGAGCAAAGTAATTTCAGATACACATTATCAATTCAATGAAGAAAATAAAACATGATAATCATGTAATAGAAGCTGCTCAGCAACTTCAGAGCTGTGGTCAGGGATGGCCTGGGGATGTGTGTTTGACCTGGGAAGACCTAGGAAAAGGCAGGCAGAGGAGGCAGAGGACCATCAGGTGCAAAGACTCTAAGGTGGAAACACATTTGGCAAATTCAAGCAATATAAAAAAGGCCAATGTGTAGAAGAAACATAGGGGAAAAGCTTCATGACACTGGCCTTGGCAATGATTTCCTGGACATGACACCAAAGACTGGGCAACAAGACCAAAAATAAACACATGGGAGTACATCAAACAAAAAAGCTTCCACACAGCAAAGGAAATGATTAACAGAGCAAAAAGGCAACCTATGGAATAGGAGAAAGTACTTGCAAACCACATATCTGGTAAGGGGTTAATCTCCAAAATACATAAGGAATCTCTACAACTCAACAATGAAAAAACCTGATTTTAACATGGGCTAAGATCTTAAACAGACATTTCTCAGGCTGGGCATGGTAGCTCACGCCTATAACCCCAAGGCAGGCAGATCACTTGAGCCCAGGAGTTCAAGACCAGTCTTGACAACACGGCAGGATCCTGTCTCTACAAAAAAATTAGCTGGGTGTGGTGGTGCACGCCTGTGGTCCCAAGTACTCGGGAGGCAGGAGGACCGCTTTAGCCCAGGAGGTTGAGGCTGCAGTGAGCTGTGATCAAGCCACTGCACTCCAGCCTGGGAGACAGAGTGTAAAAAAAAAATTAAAAATTAAAAAAATAGACATTTCTTCAAAGAGGACATAAAAATGGGCAACACATATATGAAAAAGTGCTTATCACTAATCATCAGGAAAATGCAAATCAAAATCACATAATAACTCACACTTGTCAAGATGACTATAATTAAAAAAGACAAAAAGTATTAGCAAGGATGTGTAGAAATCAGAACCCTTGCACACCGTTCGCACTGTTGGTGGGAATGTAAAATGGTACAGCTGCTATGGAAAACAGTATAGATGTTCTTCAAAAAATTAAAAATAGAACTACCATATGATTCAGCAGTCTTGCTACTGGGTATATATCCAAATTAAATGAAATCAAGTTCTCAAAGGGATATTAGCACGCTCATGTAGACTGCAGCACTGTTCATAACAGCATAATGTCAATGTCCATCAGCAGATGAATGGATAAAGAAAATGTGGTAATGCTATTCCCCCTAAAAAGGAAGGAAATTCTGCAATACGTGACAACATGGATGGACCTTGCAGACATTATGCTGAGTAAAATAAGCCAGACACAGAAAGACAAATACTGCATGATTGTACTTAAAAGGTGTATCGAAAGTAGTCAAATTCATAAAATCAAAAACTAGAATGGAAGGAATCTAGGCAGACTCCTAAATTTGGGGTTTGATCAGCTAAGTGGATGGCAAAGAGGATTTATCCAAAAGCACAAAAGTGGTTTCCCTCTCTTTATAGTCTCCTATGTGTCTTTCAGGCACGAAGTCATCAATATCAACCTGAAAAATAAGCCTGAGTGGTTCTTTAAGAAAAATCCCTTTGGTCTGGTGCCAGTTCTGGAAAACAGTCAGGGTCAGCTGATCTATGAGTCTCCCATCACCTGTGAGTACCTGGATGAAGCATACCCAGGGAAGAAGCTGTTGCCGGATGACCCCTATGAGAAAGCTTGCCAGAAGATGATCTTAGAGTTGTTTTCTAAGGTTTGTGCATAAGAAATTTCAGCTCCTATTTGAAAAACCTGTTTTTTAAAGCGAAATCTGTGCTGCCATTTATAGTTCAATGATTTGGGAGAGAAAAACAAAACAGGAATATACTTGTCAGCTCTGAGTGTCCTGCAAGTCCTTTCACGATCCAGTTCCTGTTTACCTCCAAAATTATCCCTTTTCACTCTTCTCCTGACACTTTATATATGCCAGCCATACTAAACTTTTCTCAGAATTCCCAAATTCGCCCCTTTCTCTCTCAATTCTTGCTGTCAGATTCTTCCCACTTCTCACCGTGCCTGGTTATCTCCACATCATTTTTCACGTCTGTTCAGACACTGCTGCCTTTCAGGAGCTTGTCAGGCTGGTCAGTGCTCTAGCTTCTGAGTTCCCATCTGTGTGAACTTTCGCCTGTCTTCTTGCCTGTGTACTGCACTGGGGTTGTGAGCTCCTTGAGGGTGAGGGTGTGTTTTGATCACTGCTAGTTCGCTGCCTAGTTTTGTGACTGGCTCTGCTATTTCCTTGTGACTCTAAGCAAGTTACTTATACTTTGCCTCTCCGTTCATCATTGGTAAAATGGATATAGTAATTGTTCCCACCTCATAAGATAAAAATCAGTTAATATAAAACACCTGGAGCAGAGTCTGACACAGTAACTACTTAGTTCTTGTCCTTATAGCCATAGCATCAAGCAGCGAGCAGCTACTCAGATGACTGAATAAATGGCATTCCTGGAGAGCTGTTTGTACCTTACTTAGCATCAACATTGTGGATTAGCACAAACAATTAATATTAACAAAGAAATAACTAACAGATGTGTGTTTAGACACCAAGAATAGCATGTCTGGTTATATGCCTATAATATTGTCACCTTGGTAGTATGGTCAGTGTATAAAGGATTATCTTTAGAGAAAAAGATGGTTAAAGAAATGCCCTAAGAGAGAGTTATAGGGAAAACATTCCGTTTTAGGAGACATTACAAAGGGAAGCCAACGGGAAAGGAAGAGTGAGTCACCTGCTTAGTAAGATGAGGGTGAAAGAATAGTAGAGGTGGCTGCTGTGAAAGATAATGAAAGGGAACATGACATTTTCAAGAAAGATGTTGGAGAGTTTTACAAAGTAGTAACAAGTTAAAGGCATGCAGCTTCAAGACATGAAGTCATCAATATCAACCAAAAAACATAAGCCTAAGTGGTTCTTTAAGAAAAATCTCTTTGGTCTGGTGCCAGTTCTAGAAAATTTTTTTTAGTATGGCTGGAATATAAAGTATCAGGAGAAGAGATAAAATGGGTAACTTTGGAGCGGTAAACAGGAACTGGATTGTGAAAGGACTTGTAGGACACGTCAGAGAAAATGAGCTTTAAAAGTAAAGCTTTTAGGCATGAAGTTTTACTTTCATGCATAAAGCTACTACTTTAAAAAGTAGTCACAAGAGATTCATTGAACTATCTAGAAAGAAAATGAGCTTTAGAAGGAATGCTGAAGATGCCCATCTTTACTTCCCCACTTGCTTTTAAGGGAGAGGTGGCCTTATGTACATATGACCCTGCTCTCCTGGCCACAGCCCATCAGAACAGAAACGTACCCCACCCCCACACCTGGGCCAGTCATTTTCTCTCCTGGGAACTTGGAAATGAGACACAGAGACTAAGACAGTAAAGGTTAGGACAGTAAAGACAACTAAGCGTTGGGGCTCAAATATAACATTAGAGGCTAGGAAAACCAAAGCCACTTAAGAAATAATTTTTTAGAAAAGCAAAAATTAAAAGCATTGCAAAGGGATTGAAGTACATAAAGTAATATGGAGCAGAAATGTAAGGAAAAACAGATGAAAGACCAGGTAGACCCAGATGGAAATGTGGATGAAAGGGCTGCCTGAAAGCCTTCAGTCCCAGGGCAGGCTGAACTGATGTGGATGGGATTTCATGGGATTCTATATTTTTACAAGTGCCTGTTTACTTAAACTAGGATGAGTGGACTTCTGCATCTTGCAATGAAATGACACCAAAGACCAAAGTACTAAAACACACAAACACCATCACGAGCATTAAAGCATCTGATGCTACACCCGTCAAGTCTTTAGGTAGTCAGTCCCTTTTGGACAGTCTCCTGGTGTCCTCCCCAACAAAGAAATCAGAAAAATTCTCTACCCTAGCTCTTTGCAGTTGGGGCCAAGTTTTGTGACCTAGGCTTTTCCTGTCAGACACACACAATAGAGCTCAATTCAGAAATGAGCAAGGTGAGGAAACAGACTTGGTGGGATATCTGTTTAAGATATTCAGCTCTCCACTGGTTCTGCTGGTGAGAGTGGCGGCAGAGCTTCTGGGTTTCAGCAGTGTGGGTTACAAAATAAAATTCTCGAGTAGAAATGGCATCAGTGCCAGTGGCGTTAGCGGTTATCTCAGACTCTACTTTCTGGCAGCTGCACAAACTGAAGCATCTAATGCTCAGCTTGCACTAGCATCAGTGGGCGCTTCCCCTGAGGCCAGTTCTCAGCATGAATTTGGGATGTTCTGTCTTAATTCCAAGCCTGTTTGTTCAGCCTCCCAATAATTCTATAAGCCACTTAGTCTCCTTTAAAGAAAGTTGTGTTGGCCGGGTGTGGTGGCTCAAGCCTGTAATCCCAGCACTTTGGGAGACTGAGGCAGATGGATCACCTGAGGTCAGGAGTTCGAGACCAGCCTGGCCAGTATGGCGAATCACCATCTGCTGTACTAAAAATACAAAAATTAGCCAGGCGTAGTAGCACATGCCCATAATCTCAGCTACTAAGGAGGCAGAGACAGGAGAATTGCTGAGCCTGGGTGGTGGAGGTTGCAGTGAGCTGAGATCATGCCACTGCATTCCAGCCTGGGTGACAGAGCATGACTCCGTTTCAAAAAAAAAGGAAAGAAAGTTGTTTCTTAAACATGCCAAAGTAGGTTCTGTTATTTATAATTGATAAAATCCTGACCAACCCAGCATTTTAGGCCACAAAACTGTTCCTAAGACCAGTCCGTTGCCTCTGTGAGCACAGGAACTTGGTGCACCCTTGATGTTTCTAGAACACCTTGACACCAGGACTATGAGGGTTCTGTCATGTTTTTATGTGAGGGGGCCGATATAGTTAGCCATAAACTGATAAACTAAGAAATTATTCTCTTTCTAGGTACCATCCTTGGTAGGAAGCTTTATTAGAAGCCAAAATAAAGAAGACTATGCTGGCCTAAAAGAAGAATTTCGTAAAGAATTTACCAAGCTAGAGGAGGTAATCATTTCTCCTAGCTACCATCAGAGTAAACGATAACTATACCTACCCTCCTTTTCCTCCTATTCTTTTCTTCATATTCCCACTTCCCAAGTCACTTTCTGGCAATTAGGAAAATTCCCCTAAACATTTTTGTTTACAGCAGACTGCTGTTATAAAGCAGAAAGCTGTTCTGCTTAAGATATAAATCAAAACACCTAAAAATACTTTGTCATGGGCTTGCTTTAAAATATTCTGCTGTGTTAACATTAAAGTAACAAGGAAAAAGGAAATTGTACCCACATTTCCACAAGCTTTTATGTATCCAGTTTTCCATGCTTGTTTGCAGTCCTTGTCCATATATTTTTAAAAAATTAATGTAGCTCTAATCAGAGCATAGATATCATTCTGTGTTCTGCTTTTTTTTCTGTGTCCTGTGTCCACTTAGTATTACATACTCAATATTTCCCACCAGAAAAAGTTTGCAATGAACAGTACAGACACTTGAGGGAAGCCCAGATATATTTTACCTTCTTTTGGGGAAAGCTGACATTTGGGCCTTGGAGTCTGTCTCTTGGCCTTGAGATATTTCATTCATGCTAAGCCTGAAGTTTTTGCTGACAGAAGATATAGTTCCCGTCTTTTATGGGAATGCATTTAACATCTTATCAGTAATATGACATTTGCTGTAGGTTTTTCAGAAACCTTTTTTTTCATTATAAAGTTCTCTTCTATTACTAGTTTGCTAATTTTTTAAAAAGTCATAAATGTTGAATTTTATTGAATGCTTTTTCTGCGTCTTTTACATCTATTGAAATGTTCATAGAATTTTTTCCTGTTAATCTGGTGAATATGGTGCTACTGACAGATTTTTTTTTTTTTTTTAATGTTTAACCATCCTAGCATTCCTAAGATAAAACCTACTTGTTCTCTATGGATTTTAATATGTACTGTAGAATTAGCTAATAAATGAGTTTTGTATGTGTGTTCATAAATGAGATTGGCCTATAATTTTCTATTCTTATAGTATCATTATTGGCTTTTGGTATCAAGGATATTCTGACCTCATAAAATAAGTTGGGTAACTAAGCTGTTTTTCTAATCTCTGAAACCATTTGGTAGGGACTAGTGTTTCTTTAAAACATTTGAGCCTGGTGTCTTTAACAGGGGTAGATTTTTCATTACTAGTTTGATTTCTTTAATGGTAATTGGTTTTTCGGTTTTACATTTCTTCTGGAATCAATGTTGGTACTTTATTTTTTTCTGCTGAACAGTGTGGGAGCTGGAAAGTAGGATGCAGTCCATATTCTTCAGATAATTAGTTCAGTAGTAGACGGAACACAATTGGTAGATATATGCAATCTAAAATGCATACTATGCATTGAAAAAAACTATGGAGGTTATTTATAAAGGACAAATTAGTTTGGTGTTGGTTTAAATAGCCAGATAATATTCTCAATCACTCCCTTTGGCAAACCCTGTAACCAATTCACCTTCTTAAAATTTCAGAAACATACAATTTGTGTTTGGTTTTCAAATGATTGTCATCTGTTTAGTAGCTAATACAATCTATTTCCAGTATATTTTAAGTACAAATGCTTTTGCACTTACAATGGGGTTACATCCAATAAACCCATCATAAGTTGAAAATATCGTAAGTGGAAAATGCATTTAATAAACCCAACCTACAGAGCATCATAGCTCAGCCTAGCCTGCTTTAAATGTGCTCAGAAAACTTCCATTAGCCTGCAATTAGGCAAAATCATCAAACATAAAACCTATTTATAAAGTGTTGAATATTTCATATAATTTATTGAATATCCATATTCAAAAGATGCTGGCAACACAGCACACATTAGAGCATTGGTTGTTTACTCTCCTGATGGTGTGGCTGCCCAGCATCAAGAGTATCATACTGCAAATCGATAGCCCAGGAAAAGAGCAAAATTCAAAGTACAGTTTCTACTGAATGCTTGCTTTTGCACCATTGTAAAGTTGAAAAGAATTTAAACTGAACCATCATAAGCTGCAGACTGTGCATTTTATATTGAAAAGTTAGTATTTTTAATTTTTGACACAGGGAAGTACCCAAAGCATAAGAACATACACATTTTCACAAAGTGAACATAGTCATGGAACCAGCACTCATATCAACTAACAAAATATTAGTTTGGGCTTTTTTGTAGTTTATGCAAATGAACTCATATAATGTTCATCTTTTTGGGTCTGCCTGCTTTCATTCAATATTAGATTTGTGGGTTCATCTATGCTGTGTGTAGTTCTTTCCTATTGTTTATACAGTGTTCCAAAGTATAGTATATTATAGTTTACCCATTCTACTCTTGATAATAAGCATTTTCACATTTGGGCTATTACAAATAGTGCTGCAGTGAACATTCACATACATATCTTTTGGTGAACATGTGTTACATTTCCAAGTAGAATTGCTCGGTGATAAGAGTATGCATACTCTTAAAACATGGTTGTACCAATTTACACCTCTATGACAGTGGTTCCATACCCTTGCCAACTTCATTTTGTTCATTTTAGGCATTCTCATGGATGTATAGTGTTATTGTATTTTGGTTTTAATTTGCATTTCCCTAATGACTAATGCAGTTGAACACCTTTCCAAATGATAATTGGTCATTTGGACATCATCTTTTGTGAAGATCAAGTCTTGCTCATTTTTCTAATGGGTTATTTGCCATTTTTCTTACTGATTCCCAGGAATCCTTTCTATATTCTGAATACCAGTCCTTTGTATTACAGATATGTTGTACTCTGTGACTTGTTTTATTTTTCAGTTTTCCAGTTTATGTTGCGATTGTTTTGCTTCATCCCAGACCAACAGATTCTAAAGCTTAATTAAGTTTTTTGATCAAACAGACAAAAACCCAACTTGGATACATTGGAGTAAAAACTGCTTCTCTCACCTGCTCTACTTAATTTCCCTTCAGCGTTTCTAGTGAGTCTTACTACATGCACAAATAATAAATACTTTTATGCTGTTTAATGTTCAGGTTCTGACTAATAAGAAGACGACGTTCTTTGGTGGCAATTCTATCTCTATGATTGATTATCTCATCTGGCCCTGGTTTGAACGGCTGGAAGCAATGAAGTTATATGAGTAAGATATTTGAATATTTTGTGCATAATCTAGGATGACAGTTGGCATAGTATATATTGACCTTTCTTTTTAACAGAAGTTAAAATATGTAATACAACTGGTCTGAATGAGAACAAGCAGTCGGGAGTCTTGGACTATCCAGGGCATGTCATATACCTACACTAACTACTCTCCATCACTGGGAGGAGGCAGGGATTTCTGTGACATGTAGTAAAGTGCTTTAAAATTTACTCCTTCCTTCCTGATTACAAATCCATAAGGGGAAGGGTACGGTGGCTTATGCCTGTAAGCCCAGCACTTTGGGAGGCCGAGCTGGGTGGATCATCTGAGGTCAGGAGTTGGAGACCAGCCTGGCCAATGTGGTGAAACCCCATCTCTACTAAAAATACAAAAATAAGCTGGGCATTGTGGTGCACACCTGTAATCTCAGCTACTCAAGAGGCTGAGGCAGGAGAATCACTTGAACCCGGGAGGCGGTTGCAGTGAGCCGAGGTCATGTCACTGAACTCCAGCCTGGGCAAGAGCAACACTCTGTATCCAAAAAAAAAAAAAAAAAAAAATCCATAAGATTGTAAATTTTTATAAGGATGTTGTTGCCAGATTGTATGATCAGTGTTACCTCCCATTTACCAGTAAGATTTCCACATTATTTTCCAAATTCTGTTTTGAGTTTGGCAGCCACCTTGCCTTACTCCCGCTTCTTGGACATTAGAACTATTCAGGGTTACTTTTGGTCATAATCTGGGTGTAGACTAATTAACATAGAACATTCCTGATTGTATTGCCTGTTCTCATTTTAATAAATTGTCAGTTTCTCTCTTTGGGCAAGTTCTCACATTAACAAGTCGCTTCACTCTAGTCTCATTCCTCTTGGGTAAAAAAGGAACCTCTATAATGTCTTTCAAATTGAATATTCTATTACATGCATTTTAAAATATTTTTAATGAAATATTTAAGGGGAAAAAATGAAACTGTAGAGTAATAATGACATTTGGGAGACTCTGTGATGTCATCCTAGTTGACCTAGCTCACACCTTTCATTTTTTCCTCTTTCCACAGGTGTGTAGACCACACTCCAAAACTTAAACTGTGGATGGCAGCCATGAAGGAAGATCCCACAGTCTCAGCCCTGCTCATTAGTGGGAAGGACTGGCAAGGTTTCCTAGAGCTTTACTTACAGAACAGCCCTGAGGCCTGTGACTATGGGCTCTGAAGGGGGCAGGAGTCAGCAATAAAGCTATGTCTGATGTTTTCCTTCACTAATATGAATAGCATGCTTTTATTTTACCAAGGGTTCAGGTTGCATGGGATCATCTTCTCTGATGTGACATCGACAGCCTAATGGTGGGGTCTCCTTAAGGCCCCGCTACAGAAATGAAAATGCATTTCCTGTCTCAACATGCTAAAACGACTCTGAGGGTTCTACCATAGTCCATGCTGAAAAGCCCCAAATTATCATCTTTAGCAAAATCTGGACTTCAAACTTTTTTTTTTTTTTGAGACTGAGTTTCACTCTTGTTGACCAGGCTGGAGTGCAATGGCCTGATCTCGGCTCACCGCAACCTCTGCCTCCGCCTCCCAAGTAGCTGGGATTACAGGCATGCACCACCACACCTGGCTAATTTTTTATATTTTTAGTAGAGACAGGGTTTCTCCATGTTGGTCAGGATGGTCTCAAACTCCCGACCTCAGGTGATCCGTGCGCCTCAGCCTCCCAGTGTTGGGATTACAGGCATGAGCCACGGGTGGCGCCACTCCACAATCTAACTTTATAACTGCTCACAGGAAATTTCCACTCGGTTACCCTGTTGTGTGATTTCAAGAGATGCTCTCTCGTTACTTGTCTTCTGGTTTCTTACTTGAGAAGCTTTCAATTCCTTCTTTCATTTCCATCATCAAGTTAATTTCACATTCTCTCTATTGTTGGCACTGAAGACCAGACGCACATTACCCCAAAGGTGGGTGGCTGGGCAGATTCCTAGCTGGTCTCCCAGTCTCTAACCCCTTCAAATCCTTCCTATCAAATCCCATGCTGGGCACATACGTAGTGTACCACTTATGTAATTAAATACTGTGTAGGCTGTATCAGTCAATTCCGCCTATAGGGTTGATAAGTAATAAGAACCCCACTGAGAAATAGTAATGCCATCTTCCACACATTTTCATAGCCCACTGGGTTTCTCACTATTCAATTTTTATCATCACATCACCACCACGAGAAGGTAGGTCGAAGAGCATCATTTCATTCTACAGATGATGCAACGAAGGTCCCGAGTTTAAGTGAGGCCTTAAGGTGGTGGCAGAAAGATCACACCCAGCGCACTGCTCTTACCATCGGAATCAGGGCTGTCGGTCCGCCCCAATTGTCTGCTTTCCTGAACTTATTTTCAAGTTCGCCATTGAGAGAAACCTCCGAATGACTAATTCTTAAATTTAAGGGTGCATAATAATCACCTATGGCTCAACGCAGCATTTCCGATTCAGCAGGCTGGGGTTGGCCGCGAAGTCTATATCTGAAATGAGCCCCTCGCGCCAGGTGACGCAGGCGGTGTAGGGACCGCACCCGGAGGACGACCTGGAGCCGCCTGACTTCACAAAGGTCTCCTGCCGCCCACCTTCAGCGGCCACCAGCGCCTCGGCTGCCAGCAGCGGACCACGTCTGCGGCTGCGCGCCTACCCCAGCAAGCTTAGCCCTAGTGGTTTCCGGCGGATTTCCTCGCCGGTGCGGAGCCGGGTGCCGGGTCCCACAGCCAATCACTACCGGTTCCTCTTTCGTCAGCCACCAGAGCCGGCAGCACCCGCGAATCCCAATCACCAAGAGCCTGTAAGGCGGCCGCCCATTGGCTCCGCCGCACTGCCGGGCAGGCGCTTCCAAAGCTTTGAGGATTGGCTGACGCTCCGGGCGCCGGAGCTAGTTGGCGGGTAGGATCACGTGCGAGGGGCAGGCCCCTTCTAGGCCCCGCCTCCTTGCTGCTGCCGCCGCCAATCCTGGTCCGGTCTCGTGCGTTCCCGGAGGTCCCTCGCGGGACGTCTCTCACAGCCACCGGGTGGGTCCGTTCGGCCTGCGTTGTATTTGAAGGAAAGAGGGGTTTGAGGTCAATTCTGTTTGTTGGGGTTTTCACGAATTTCAGGGCCCACAGTAGGCTTGCCAACTTTAACTTTTGCCTAACACTTTACGAGAAATCCTATTTAACCTTGACCACTGTTGCATCAAAGAATTTCACATCCAAAAAAGTGCAGCCTAAGAATAAAGAACAGGTCTTCAAACTGCATACCTTTAATTAAGGTGTTCTTATTTTTCTGATTTGGCTGGAAACAGGCAGAGACCACCCCAGATAACCAGTTCTTAGCCTTGCGTGGGACACCACGAATTTATGCCACGTGTTTACGGCACTGGCAGGTAGGGGAATTTGGTTTCTGGGAATGTGCTGTCTTTGTGAAAACTATGAAAAGCCTTCCCTGCTACACTGAAATAATCATAAAAATAATAATAGCTAATGTTGAATACCTACTAGGTATACTAGGTATCAGACACATGCTAAGCATTCAATGTTTCTCATCCAGTTTCTGAATGAAACCTCTACAAACCACATAATGTACTGGTACTATTAGCTACAAATTACATATAAGAACACCAGGAAGTTGTTGTCATTTGCCCAAGGTCACCCAGTTAATAAATGTTGACGAGATTCGAACCTAGCCTGAACTCTTACAGTAAGACCATTCTTGAGATGAATTTATGTGTGCTATTTTTCCTGTCTGTTTTTATCCAACGGCTCTCAAGAGAGGATAGTATCTACCTTTTTGACCACACCATTATTCCTGGGATTTAACAGGAGTTAATGTTCCTTTTCTAAACTAAATGGTTTTGATTTTACAAATTATTTGACTTTTACTGATTTCAGGATCTTGACAATTTGCCTTTACTTATTCAGATGTTATTATACCAAATATTTATTTAAAAAGTTTTTTTTTTCTTTGATTCCCCAAGTTGTAGAGAGATAGGGATAGGGAAGCAGCATCAAGTACTTAAAAAGATAGCCTCATTTGACTCTGATTTCCCTATAGGGAATATGAAAAATTTCCCGAATATAGGCACATTTGAGAACAGAACCTTTTACCTAACTGATCTCACTTTTTGAACTTATTGGACAATGAGGGAACACCCAGTAATATAATCTTTCATGTAAATTAGGCTTCTAACATACTAAGAGGAATGTACTCCAGTTTCTGCTACTATCAAGAGATGGCATGACAAAAAATTTTGAAAAGTTGCCAAATGCAAACCACAGTTCCTCTTCTCAAAACAAATGCATGTAAATAGAATATAAGTTATTTCTTTGGTGGCATTATTTTCCTAGAAGGCTTAAGTCATTAATCACCCATGACCAAAGATCCAAACATTTTCAAAACAGATCCGATTATATTTCAGGTGGCTGAAAATGGATTTGAAGTAGGTTTAATATGGTCTAGTTACAATTTGTTTCATGATTGAGTGGGTCAGTATAATAAAGGTGTAAACACGAAATAACATAGAAGGAAAGTTTGCAAAGAGGATTTCAAATTTAAGTACCTGCTGGGTATTCAAAAGAAAGTAGGGATAAGCTTGAGGTTAAAATCTTTCTAGGGAAAGTATAGTGTTCAGAGGTAAGATTAAAAACCACATTACTGAAATGGAGTCTGCAGCATTCAACCCACTCAATTGGCATCAAACTGGTAACTGGTGAAATAAGTATTGTGAGTTGAACTTGAATTCTAATATGCTCGGCAAAGCCGAATCACGATGTGCTTCATCTTTATGGATACAAAATTGGAATGCACTCTGTTATAAAAAATATGTTCTTACTCACTAGCATTTGTCATTAACTTTGATGTATACTGAGCTCTTACTATACTGATGATGCCCTGGACTATTTGATTCGATACAACAACTCAAAAAGTAGGTATTATTGGCGTTCTCATTTTGCAGATGAGGAAAGTGAAGGTCAAAAAGGTTAGATAGCTTGCTTAAGTGCCAAAGCTGGGTCTCAAAAAGTCAGCCCATTGGGCTCCAGGGCCTATTCTGAGAACCTTGACACTAGATTGCTTCCCTTTAGAGGAGAACAGCTTCCATCCCTGTCTTCTGACTCTACCAAATTAACTTGGCATTTCAGAACTTGATTTCCCACATACAGATATACTTTTCATAAACATTTCCCAACTCTCAGAGTTAGTTTCTTTTAAAAGGTGGGAATGAAGAAACAAAACTTGGAAAATCATCCTCATCTGGCAAAGTAGAAAGGTGGATCCAGGAACCTTTTAATTTACAAATGGAATTCCCAGTTTGGCCATTGTTCAGAGACCATGGATGGGCAAACTAAGGCCATTGGGTTAAATCCAACCAATTGTTGGTTTTTGTATAGCTCAATATCTAAGAATGATTTTTTACATTTTTAAAGTGTTGAATAAAAAACCAGTCACAATGTGATATGTGAAAATTATATGAAATCCACTGAGAGTGAGCCCTAATATATTAATTATGGATGTTGGGTGGTAATATGTCAATGTGGGCTCATTGATTATAATAAATATCCCTCTCTGATTGGAATATTGATAGTGGGAGAGACTGAATGTGCGGGGGCACAGCATATATGGGAAATCTCTATTTTCTGCTCAATTTTGCTGTGAATCTAAAACTTTTAAAATAAAGGCTATTAAAATATATATATGAAGTTCAAATGCAGTGTGTCCATAAATACAGCCACACCCATTTGGTTGTTTATCTTCGATGGCTGTTTTTACACTACAAGTGTAGAACTGAATAGTTGAGATCAGATGGCCTGAAAAGCCTAAAATATTTAATATTTGTAAAAACATTTGCCAACCATTCAGTTCATTGCATCTGATAAAGACTAAGATATTGGTTGAGATTGTTGCCGCTGGAGTCAAACTTCCAGGGTTCCTAGTCCTCCCTCTTCCACTTACTAGTTGAGAAGTGTTTAACTGTGCTAATCTCAGTTTACTCATCTTTTAAAGTGAATCAAAATAGAACAGTAATGGGACAATTTTTTTTTTTTTTTTTTTTTTAAGACGGAATCTTGCTCTGTCGCCCAGGCTGGAGTGCAGTAGTGCAGTCTCAGCTCACTGCAAGCTCCGCCTCCCAGATTCGCGCCATTCTCCTGCCTCAGCCTCCCTAGTAGCTGGGACTACAGGTGCCCGCCATCGCACCTGGCTAATTTTTGTATTTTCAGTAGAGACGGGGTTTCACCGTATTAAACAGAATGGTCTCAATCGCCTGACCTCGTGATCTGCCCGCCTTGGCCTCCCAAAGTGCTGGGATTACAGGCATGAGCCACTGCACCTGGCCCACTTATGGGACTATTTTAAGAATTAACTGGGTCAATACACATGAAGCACCAAATAGTTATTAGTAAAATTTATTTTGATTTTGAGATTTTGCATTCCTCTTATGGCCTTTTTTAGGCTATGGATATATTTTTCTCAACTGTCTTGAAATCTGCTTTGTTTACATGAGGGGTACATGTGTATGCCCAGAAGTCATCTTATCTATCAGGAGCTCTAACATGACATGGTTATGTTTCTTGCTTCTATTTTTCCATCCAGTTTGTCCTTCTTGATCAGAATTAGCTCCAAAGTAATAGAAGTTACTCTATTACTTTCTCTATCTTCCTAAATGAAAAGTCAGCTTAGCAAGCCAGGAACCAATATGTCTTCTCCAACACCAGATTTCTTGCTGACATATATGCTTTTTATTTTCAGAGAATATTTATTCAAACATTTTTGCCATTCCCTAATTCTTGTAAAATGTTAATACTTTCCATATTATTATCTAAGCTTATGTCACATGAAATCATTGAATGACAGCAAAAAATGTAGTTGAGTCACTATTCTGAAGATTTGCAAAGATTCTTATTCACTAGCAAAAAATGTTAACACTATTATTAACCAAGAAGTTCTGGATAGACTGGAACTCCAAAGGCCTAACAGTACCCATTTATAAGCTACATAATTAGGCTCCGTCATTTTAATAAAAGATATTTAAATTCAACTATTATTTGTTGAGTAGCCATTATATGCTATATCTTTTCCTGGACTTAAAATCCTTTCTTCCCAGCACTGTTACCAGTTTTAAAGGTCAAGACAACGTGTCAAGCTTTGGACTTTTTAAGTTCTTCAACCCTACTAGCTGGTTACTTTGGGCAAATAATTTCATTTCTCTGAAGCTGTTTTCTGTTTTGAAAAGTAGGAATAATATGAGTTGCCTGACAGAGCAATTGTAGGAATCAAGGTAATCTTTGGAAATAATTTAGTCAGTATGAGTGAGACACAGAAAATATTTTTCTTTCCTTCATCACCTGAAGGTCATTTGCCACCAAATGAATTTACAAGCAATTCCCACAGCAGCCCAATTCTGGAAAATTTAAGGAATTATTTTTTTACCTGCTGAAATTCAAGATCTCAGCTTATCAGCATCAGAGCCAAAGCCACCTCCATTATCTCACATAAACAGAAAAGCTGTGCAAGTGGCCCCTATGGCTGGGCTGATACAATGTATCCTTAGCATCTAGTAAGAGTGTTCTCAAAAATTTATGCCGGGGAAGTGGGGGAGCTCACAAATTGTTCTTTGCCTCCAGGTATCTTAATTTTATTCATTGCTGGTTTTTCAGAGCTTGGGTAAAACCTCACAAGTAGGGACAGGACTGGGATGAGGCAACTGAGGTGTCTAGGGTGCAAAATGTGAGCTGTCTAGACACCAAAGGTGTCTAGGTGTCTAGCGGGCACTGACTCTCCAGCGTATGTGAGATTTCAACACCAATAACTTTTTATTTCCTAGTTGCTGTATCATGAGAATGTTTGGCCTTATTATTTTTTAAAGCTGTACTTACAGAGGTGTGGCCAATTGTCTTAGTGATGCAAGAGATTCAGAATGGAAAAGAAAAAGTCAGCGTTACCCTAGTCGATTTTGATTAAACTCCTTTGAAATCCATGTTGGAGTTTAAATGCCCATTCTTGAGGAATGCTTGATATAGAGGAGGCCCCTCCAAAGCTTTAAGCACATGTTCAGAGCAAGAGGGAGCGTTTCAGGTGTTATTTTGTCTTGTTTTGTTTTTTGCCAGCTCCTACTCTCGGGCTTCCAAATCTGGGGCGATGTCTCCCCAGGTTAAATTATCCTAGCTCCTGCTCCAGATCGCTTTCCCTCTGCCCCGCCGGAGCCCAGTAGTTCAAAAATTAAATTTGGGGCAAGAGGTGCGCTCCAGAGCGCAGCTGCTTCTGGACCCTGCGGCAGCGGTGGGGAGCCACAGGGCGGCGACCGTGAGCTCCGGGAGCTGCGCAAACAGCTGGAGACCATGTCTGAGGATGCGACCAGGACCCTGGGGAAAGGTGAGTGCTCTCCATGGGGTCCGCGAGCTGGGGACGCCGCGTGACAGAAAATGATGGCTTCGGTGGAACTGCCTGGCCTTGGCCTGCAGACCAGCGGGGCAGGAAGGGACTTGGAGGGCTCTCCTGAAGAAAAGCCACGTGCAGCACTGTCCTCTCTGGGACTTGGGAGTTGGAGCTCCCACAGCCATCCTGGGATCCGGGCAAGTGAGCGAGCTCCCTCCTCACTGGGCTGACTAAGCCTCTCCTTTCCCTGTCCCCCTCCATCGCTGCTCTGCAGGAAGCCAGCCCCCAGGGCCAGTCCCGGAGGGGCTGATCCGCATCTACAGCATGAGGTTCTGCCCCTATTCTCACAGGACCCGCCTCGTCCTCAAGGCCAAAGACATCAGGTGAGAAGCGAAAACCCAGAGCCCCCGAGCAAACCCAGTGCCTCACAGGAGCCCGGGAATGTTTAGCATCTGGGCATCTGCTCAGATTTTAGAAGGGGCTCCCTGTCCTTTTTTTCCGGAGGCAAAGTCAACAAGTAATTAGCAAAGGGCGGGCATTTTTTTAGCGGGCCCTACTGAAATGCGGAGCCCTTTTCCGAGTCCTGTAACTTCTAGGCCAGCGCAGAGGAATCTGAATGAGGGGACTGGTGAATTGGTTCCCTCCCAGAATGTTTAAGGGCGCAGCCAAGGCTACTGAGGCCTCTCCTGACTACTCCACAGAGGTAGTTCCCCCACCACACCCCAGGCATCTTAGGTCACCTCTGTTTCCTTTCTTTTTTTTTTTTTTTTTTTTTTTTTTGAGACGGAGTCTTGCTCTGTTGCCCAGGCTGGAGTGCAGTGGCGCGATCTCAGCTCGCTGCAAGCTCCTCCTCCTGGGTTTACGCCATTCTCCTGCCTCAGCCTCCCGAGTAGCTGGGACTACAGGCGCCCGCCACCTCGCCTGGCTAGTTTTTTGTGTTTTTTAGTAGAGACGGGGTTTCACCATGTTAGCCAGAATGGTCTCGATCTTCTGACCTCGTGATCCGCCCGTCTCGGCCTCCCAAAGTGCTGGGATTACAGGCTTGAGCCACCGCACCCGGCCTGTTTCCTTTCGTTATTGAACTTACTGCGTCCAGCATTTTCTTATTTGTTCATCCATCTCCCCTCCCCAGTCGCCTTCACCCATGTGAGTTCTCCAGGGTAGGAACTCTGTGTCTTTTATTCATGAGCTAGGAGACAGCCTGTCACATAGTGGGTGCTCAAAAAGTATCTGTTAAATGAATGAACAAATCTTTCCAAACAATGAAATAAAAGGAATTGCTATCAAGAGGTGTCTGGAAGTTTTCAAGACACCTTGAAAACTTGAGAAATGGGTATAGATTCTTCCAGAAGGAAGTTTGCAAGACCAGCTCCTACGGGTCTGGATCTGGAGGGCAGAGCAGCTTTGCTGGGATGTGGACTGCATAATACAGCTGGCCTCCAAGCTAGAGTGTTGAGAATGTGTCACTCCAGGTTCCTGACTCTTGTCTCGGAGAGTCCATCACAAGGGGGTGACTTCAGAGTTTCAGACTTATGTCAGAGAGATACAAAGACTAATATAGAGATATTTTGAATAAAATTATGTAAATCCACCTTGTTGAGTATATAGGGCCTATATTTCCAGATTCTTCCCTTTTGCTCAAATTAAGTTGACCTTAAGGTTACCTGTTTTTTGAGGAAAATAACAACAACAGGATGTTTGCCCATTTGGTGATAAATTATCAGCCTAGGAGCTGATGTATTTTCTTAGGGCAGGGTTTCTCAACCTTGGCACTGTTGACAATTTGGACCAGATAATTCTTTGTTGGAGAGGTGGGATAGGAGCTGTCCTATCCATCGCTGGATGTTTAGCAGTATCTGTGGTCTCTACCCATGACAGTAGAGTCCCCCTTCCCTATCCTCTATCTTCAGTTGTGACAGCAAAACAATGTCTGCAGACATTGTGATATGTCCCTTGGGAAGGAGGCCAAAAATCACCTCTAGTTGAGACTCACTGCTTTAGGTTTTTTAGGTCTTTCTATGTGGCCTATGCTGGTTGCGAACTCTTGGGCTCAAGCAATCTTCCCATCCTGGCCTACCAAAGTGCTGAGATGACAGGCGTGAGGCACCTCATCCAGCCTCTGCTGTAGGTTTTAAGACAATCTCCTAGACTAAGCAACGAATGTTCCCATTTGTTTCCTTTCATCTTTTTAAACATATGTTCATGCTTCTGGCAACTTTATAGTTATCTAAATAATGATTGTATTATTATGTGAACATTAAATAATAGTATTACTTGAACATCTAATAATTAGAAGAAGAATTAAAAAGTTATTGCATGCTTACGTGCCAGGCACTGTCCTAAACACTTTACACATATTCACTTACCTGATCACCACAGTACCAAGAGATGGGTGTAATTCTTAGCCCCATTTTATAATTAAGGACACTGAGCACAGAGAGGTTAGGAATTCGGTTAAGGTCCCAAGCTAGACTGTTCAGTCTGATGCCAAAACTCATGCTCTTAATTGTTAACATTTACCATATTCTGTTGTGACCTGTTAATATCAGATTTGTATTTTCAAGCTGTAAAATGTACTAAATTCTCTCATGCCATGGTTAAGTGTGTGAACTCTTGAGTCTGTCTGTCTGGCTGTGATCTTGGCTCCACTACTTCTTTTTTTTTGAGATGGAGTCTCTCTTGCCCAGGCTGGAGTGCAGGGGTGTGATCTCAGCTCACTGCAACCTCCACCTTCCAGGTTCAAGTGATTCTCCTGCCTCAGTCTCCCGAGTAGCTGGGGTTACAGGCACCTGCCACCACGCCCGGCTAATTTTTTGTATTTTTTAGTAGAGATGGGGTTTCGCCATGTTGGCCAGGCTGGTCTTGAACTCCTGACCTCAGATGATCTGCCTGCCCCAGTCTCCCAGAGTGCTGGGATTACAGGCATGAGGCCCCGTGCCCGACTGGCTCTACTACTTCTTAGTGGGTGGCATTGTGTGTGAGATTCAACCTCCTTGAGCCTTCTTTCCTATGAGGTGAGCCTACTTCATGGGGAATTATGAGGAACAACTGAGATAAGGCATAGAAAACATCCAACACATCTCACTGCCGGAAGGAAGATGATGATGTTATATATTTTATACAAAACTTAAACCTTAGAAAACTAATAGCAAATTTTAACTTTTAAACTGATTGCTTCTGCTTTCAAGAAGAGTGCCTGCCTGCAGATGCCTCTCATTTTTGTTTTCCTTTTGCTTTTTAAGACATGAAGTTGTCAACATTAACCTGAGAAACAAGCCTGAATGGTACTATACAAAGCACCCTTTTGGCCACATTCCTGTCCTGGAGACCAGCCAATGTCAACTGATCTATGAATCTGTGATCGCTTGTGAGTACCTGGATGATGCTTATCCAGGAAGGAAGCTATTTCCACACGACCCATATGAACGAGCTCGCCAAAAGATGTTGTTGGAGCTATTTTGTAAGGTATATTCAATTTAAAAAGCCACTCACACTCTATTTTACTTTGCATGTCTTTCCCAAACCTCAACCCATTTTAAAGCCAAATCATTGGTGAAACTGATTTGTTTTGATACCATGTGATCCTCAGGAGATTAGCTAGCATGGAATTAGGGTAGAGCATGGCCACTGATATTAAAGTTAAAGGCTTAACTGCTAGGTGCTTCTCCATTTCAACTGGCAGGCTCAGGAGGTATGGTTATGACATGGCAATGACCATGTGACTTGAAGCAGGAATATTGAAAGAACTGAAAACTGGTGATCCTTAAAGGGACAATTTCCCCAACTTCAGGTAAAAAGTAATGGAGTGTGACGATTACGCATAGAAGGTGATGCTCTTCTTTTTTTTTTTTTTTTTTTTTGAGACAGGGTCTCGCTCTCTCTGTCACCCAGGCTAGAATGCAGTGGCATGATCTTGGCTCGCTGCCACTTTTGCCTCCTGGGTTCAAGCAATTCTGCTGCCTCAGCCTCCTGAGTAGCTGGGATTACAGGCGCATGCCACCACACCCAGCTAATTTTTGTATTTTTAGTAGAGATGGGGTTTCACTATATTGGCCAGGCTAGTCTTGAACTCCTGACCTCGAGTAATCTGCCTGCCTCGGCCTCCCAAAGTGCTAGGATTACAGACATGAGCCACTGCGCCTGGCCAGTGATGCTCTTTAGAGGCATAAGAGTGCCTGCTGCCCAGGAAATGTGAAGAATAGATAAATGGTGGCAGATTTGATAATGAAAGAAAAAAGAATGGAGAAACTTTAAGATGATGTCTTTGAAAAGGAATTTTTAAAAAACTTCAGTGAGATTAACAGCTAACATATATCAACCACTTATGATGTGCCAGGCACTGTCCTAATTACTTTGTAGGAGCTAACTCATTTAATCCAACTGCCCTTTGAAGTGGGTACTGCTATTGTATCCATTTTTCAGATGGGAACACTGAGGCTTAGAGAGGTTGAGTGTCCCACCTAAGAATGTATAGCATGGAAGCAGCTGATCAAGTAAGGAGCACTGGAGAAAGCCTCCTAAAGCACCCTGTTTTCCCAGAGTGCTGTGAGAAGCAGATTCCTACTTCTCATTAGGAATCTGGGATATGTCCGGGATATGACATTATCCTGGAACCACAGACATAACCTAGTGCCCCTCACAGGGAGCTGGGGGTCGGATGTGGGTGTTGCCCTGTTAGGCTGGAGTTATAAAGCTTTGCTGCCTTTTCAAGCAGAGCAGGAACTGGAAGTTTCTGCAGACTTCTCCACTGAGAACCTGTGTCCTCTGATTAGGTCCCACATTTGACCAAGGAGTGCCTGGTAGCATTGAGATGTGGGAGAGAATGCACTGATCTGAAGGCAGCCCTGCGTCAGGAATTCTGCAACCTGGAAGAGGTACAAAAAGGGGTCCCTCTCCTGGTCAGCTACAATGGAGGAAGCCAGGCAGGGTTGCTAACCTGGTCACTCTGACACCGGCCGTCACAGGCTTATTCTTTGTGCCTTTGATAAGTCAGACTTCTGATCATCTGATTACATGTTTGCCCTCCTCTAACGTGCTCTGGAATTATTCTGGAAAATCTGATGAGGAGTTGGGGAGGACATGCCATGAATTACTTCCTTTCCTAGAGTCACCCCATCTTCCTGAGTATCTCTGCATGGCTTCTGTAGCTTCTGCCAATGAGGTCAAGGTCTGTAAAGGTTAGGGATTGTGTTTGGCTGCTGGAGTCTAACTACTGTAAATTCATGTTGTAAGGGTTTACTGTGTCATGTAACATTCTCTCACATATTATAACGGCTTATTGTCACATATACGGTGGCTCGCACCTGTGATCCCAGCACTTGGGGAGGCTGAAGCGTGAGGATCACTTGAGCCCCAGGAGTTTAAGACCAGCCTAGGCAACATAGCAAGACCCCTACTCTACAAAAATAATTTTAAAAATTAACCAGGCATAACAATGCATAGCTGTAGTCCCAGCTACTTAGGAGGCTGAGGCAGGAGGATAGCTTGAGTCTGGGAGGTCAAGGCTGCAGTCAGCCATGATTGCACCACTGCACTCTAGCCTGGGTGACAGAGTAAGTAAGACTGACTCAAAAAAAAAAAAAAAAAAAAAAAAAAGTCACAGCTAGGCAATTCAGGCCTATTTTGATGGCTTCTTTATGACATTATCAGGAACTGAAGCTCTTTCTCTTTATGGGCTCTGTCATCCTTAGTGCAACTTAGTACAAGGCTATCATCCTCAAAATAACAAAATAGCTGCTGTCACTGCAGCCATCACATCCAAGTTCCAGGCTCTGAAAAGCAGAATATAAAGAAAAAAATGGCAAATGGCCATGCCCCTTTTAAGGGCTTTAAATCCTACCAGAAATTCTACCCAATGGCTATTTACATTTCACTGGCCAGAACTTAGTTGCAGGGTCATGACTATCTTAGGGAAAGCTGGGAAATATAGTCTTTTAGCTGGGTTACCCTGAATAAAATCAGGGATCTGTAATTAAGGAAGAAGGGGAAAGTGGGTGCAGTGGCAGGAGCACTCTTTGCCAGTAGATCCTTCATTAACCCGGCAGTAATGGAACTACTTATCCCATACTTCTAGAATAATCTGGAAGGCAGTTCTTTTACTCCCATTGTTTCTTTTGTTCCAGAAACTAATAAATTCACCTTGTGGGTGGGTGGTTCCTCTATTGGCAGTCAGAGAATACGATTTTTTTCCCCTTAAGGGAAGACTGGTTATTAATACTCTTCTGTTTGACCTTTATCAAGTGGAAACAGATTAAATGTATTGATATTTCCAGTTGCCTATCTCAGATTTGTACAGTTAAGTTATGGTTGACGAATGGTCGTGTGTAGGAAATGTCAGTCTTTTGTCCTGAGGTCACCAACTGTGGCCTTGACCCCAAGGAGGCCGTATGATGTGGTGGAAACAGTCTTGGATCTTAGGCTTGGCTTTACTAAATTCCAGAACCTTGGGCAATGTTCTGTACCTCTCTGGGCCTTGGTTTTCCGGTGTGCAAAATGAGGGATTATTTTGAAATGTGCGTTCCTCAGAGCGTCTGGGTTCTGCAGTGGGTTCTCCACTCAACTTCCCAGCGAGTGGAGGCCTGGTAGATGGTTCCAGACACTGCTTCACTCAGGTCAGCACTGCCTTTAACCACCATGTTCAACCTCAAGTCTAAGAAGATGGCATTTGGGGAGAAAGGAGAACTGCTGCTTTAAAAAAGAAGTTCAAAAAATCTTGTGACTAGAGAATTTATAGTCTTTATTTCAAAGATCAGCTGAATGGACCCCATCATGCCTGGTTACCTTCTCACAGATAAACAAATACTGGACCAGGGAAAGGAGCTGGGGGAAAAAAAAACCTTTGAATTCAAAGATACAGTAATTGAAACATTTTCATCCATTTCCCTCCTACCTCCATTTGGATGATGGGTGAACTTTTTAAATTATAGATTGCTAGATGAAAGTATAGGGTTATGATGGAGATACAGTTCTTCAGTTGGGGGTCTTTCCCAGGGCAAGTGAACCAGTATTTTGTGCCATGAATCATGCTGCAGATACTTTGCATACATCATCTCATTGAATCTTGCCAACAACCTTCTCAGTTACAAATGGTACTAGTCCTGTTTTGCAAATTGGAGTGGCCTCTTTGTAAAGGCTCAGAACTATGTACTAGGAATAAAAAATATTAAAGACCTTCAAGGGGCTCAAAGCCTGGATGGGGAGATAGGCTGTTAAGCCCATTTAAAACCTGGGTGTGTTGAGTGCTAGGCTGGAGACATGCATACGAGAAGGCTGGTCTGTGGGGGTAGATAATGCCTCTGTTGACTCTTAGGATGAATTAGAGGCACAAGGGCGAGAGCCTGGTGTGTTTGGCAAACAGTAACCAGTGAGGGGTTGCCAGCGAGGGAGTGATTGATAAGAGACGAATGTGGAGGGTGGACCAGAGTCAGACGCTGAAAGGCCTTTTCCACTGTGCCTGGGGATTTGTACTTTATTTCAGAGTTGATGGTGAGTAATTGAAGCCTGTCAAGCAGGAGAGTGGTATACTCCTTCATGCTTTTAAGAGTATTCAGCCCATCGCTTGCACCCAGGATGGGGAGGTTGCTGTGAGCCAGGACTGCGCCACTGCACTCCAGCCTGGGCAACAGAGTGAGACTCTGTTTCAAAAAAAAAAAAAAAAGGAAGAAAGAAAAGAAAAAGTATTCAGCGCAGCTGAGCACAGTGGCTCAAGCCCATAATCCCAGCACTTTGAGAAGCCAAGGTGGGAGGATCACTTGAGCCCAGAAGTTTGAGACCACGCTGGTCAATGTGGCGAAACTCTATCTCTTTAAAAATACAAAATGTTAGCTTGGCATGGTGGCTTATCCCTGTAGTCCTATGTACTTGGGAGGCTGAGGTGAGAGGATCACCGGAGCCTAGGAGGTTGAAGCTACAGTGAGCTATAATTTCACCACCGGACTCCAGCCTGGACAACACAGTGAAACCCTATCTCAAAAAAAAAAAAAAAAAAAAAAAAGAAGATGTTCAGCCCAGCAAGAGTATAGAGGATGGATTAGAGTGGCCAAGAGCAAGGACTGGGAAGGGACAAAGAGGGCCCCACTAAAGAGGGTTGGAGAGGGAGGTTTAATTAGAGAGATTTTGAGGGACTAAGATGAGATGAAATCTGAGGAAGGAGTAGGAGTTACCGAGGATGGTTTCCAAGTTTGTGGCTGGTAAATGTGATGCTTTTCACTAAGAGTTTGAGGGAGGACACATTTTGTCAAATTTGAGGTGTTGATGGGATATTCATATGTGGGCAGAGCTTAGAAGAGCAACGTATGGTCTCTACTGGACCTTTGGAATGGTTTTATGGGCTAGGAGCTTTAACCAGAGAGTTTAGGAATGTCATCAGCGGTGTGGTGATAAATGTTTAACAATCAATTTTCTCTTAAAAGAGAAAGAAAAAGAAAAAGCACTGATTTATAGCATTTGCTGATTTGGGTGGTGTAAATACTTCCGTCAAGGCTAATTTTGAGCTACCAATGTGCTATCTCTAAACTCAAGAGCTGGCAAAAGATGTGGGCAGCTCCAGCATGTCATTGAATAAGAAATTTCACTTTATCTTCAATAACTGAGCCCCAGAAACACCATTGTTAACCAGCCTCTGTATAGGTAGCTTTCACTAACCAGCCTTGGTGTAGGTAGCTTTCACTGATGCTATTTAAGGAACACCGGGTATTCCACATTGTTCTAACAGGTTTGAATGTGGTTTTGTCCCATAGACTGTTAGCAATAATTGTAACTATGGCTGGGCGTGGTGGCTCACACTCGTAATCCAGGCACTTTGGGAGGCCAAGGAGGGAGGATCACTCGAGGCCAGGAGTTCAAGACCAGCCTGGGCAACACAGTGAGACCATGTCTTTACTAAAAATAAAAAAATTAACTAGTCATGGTGGCGTGTGTCTGTAGTCCCAGCTTCTCTAGAGGCTGAGGCGGGAGCATCTCTTGAACCCAGGAGTTTGAGCTTGCAGTGAGCTATGATCATGCCACTGCACTCCAGCCTGGGTGACACAGCAAGACCCTGTCTCGAAAACAAACAAACAAACAAAGAATTATAACTACAATGTAGGAAACATTGAAATCTGAAAACATGACCAATGAACTTGAATTATGTGATCTGTTCCTTTAAATGCCAATATATTTATTCTAGGAGAGTCTAGTGAAATTGAAATTTGTCAGAATAATTTTAATGGAGATGATCCCCTGATTTATGCAACTCTTTCACATGATTTTGCAAAGTCAGGATTTTTTGTGAGCTAAAAATATTTTAAATACTCATTGTCTTTCTGAGTGATAAGCAAGCCAAGATTTCATGTATAATCTTCTGCTATGTTATCCTCAAACAAAAGGTCAGTTCACCTTTTGTGGCCTTAAACTCTGACACTTTCTTCTTTTGAAATAACTGCCTTGTCTAACTTTCGAAGTTTTTTTTGTTTGTTTGTTTGGTTTTTTTTGCTTGTTTTTTGTTCGTTCGTTTGTTTGTTTTTTAAATCTGGTTTCAGGTGGGTTCAGTGGCTCATGTCTGTAATCCCAGCATTTTGGGAGGCCTAAGCGCGCAGATCATTTGAGCCCAGGAGTCCGAGACAAGACTTGACAACATGGCAAAACTTCGTCTCTACAAAAAATACAAAAATTAGCTGGATGTGGTGATGCACACCTGTGGTCCCTGCTACTTGGGAGGCTGAGGTCGGAGGATCACTTGAGTCCAGGAGGTCAAGGCTGCTGTGAGCTTTGATCATGCCACTGCACTCCAGCCTGGGTGACAGAGTGAGACTCTGTCTCAAAAAAAAAAATTAAGTTCCATCAAAATCAAACATTTATTATGCTTGTTATATAACCGCATTTTTCTCTATTATCT